ACGGTGACGCGGACTATCGCATCGCAGGAACAGGCACCGGGAGTGATGCTGGGGGGAACCCTAGCCGGGAGCAACTCAGAAATGGCATATTGGGACTTGATCCAGGTCCTAGGGCGCAACGCCCCTGCGGAGTTTCGCGCCGTGCCATGCCCCTCGGAAGAGGTGGTCGACATTTTGGTCATTGGAGACTCTTCCTGTGCCATGGTCGAAGAGCCGAACAACAAATACCCGACCAAGCACCATGTGGCGGAGCTGCTTCAGGCCGAACAGCTGAAGGGGGTCCGCAACATTTACCACGGCATGGATTGGGGTAAGGGGCTTGAGGCTATCTACAGCACCATGGAGGCCAAAGTGCGATTCATCGCCGAGGACAACTCCCAGAAAGGCATCAAACAGCTTCCCATTTCGGTTTACGTGTTATGGGGAGGAAACGATGTCTTCGGCAACTATGGTTTCGTGGGGTGCAGATGGATCCATGAGAAAAGGTTCAACCGAACGGAGGCGGGCCGGAAGGCCGCGTCAGAGTGGCCGAAGGTTCAGAGGACTCGCGTGTACGAGCAGCTTGACTTCTTCAAGGAGGCGGTTGGGCTCGGGCGCATTCGAGACATTACCTTCATCAGCAACCCGGACGCTGAGGACTATGCCCTAACGTCCGATTACAACGAGGCTATGAACGGCTGCCTTCGGTACCTGGCCGACGGGGACATCGACGACGGGACCCGCGTCAAGGCTATCGACTCGATCGACCCATCGGTTATGACATTGCTAGCGCACAGGTACGATGACGTGCACATGACATACAGCAATGCCAACCGGAAGGTTGTGTCGAAATTCCTTCATGCGGCAATCAACACACAGTTGTTGGCCCAGCGGATCAGGTACGCCCTCCCAGCGATTGGGAGGGTCGAGCCCTACGTGAAGGGTGAGCCGGTTGACCCCGTGCTTTTCGGCTGGCCAACGTGCTTGAAGCTAGCCAAAGCACTTCACGAGTTCGCGGCCATGGAGGAGAAGCCCGACTGGTCTCACGACCAGGAGGGCGACGAAATCGACGTCGACGTCGCGGCATGGATGAAGGTGGCGGAGGACGAATCCTATAACGCCATCACCATCGACATGCAGGGAGCCAAAGTCGACGAGTCCGAGATCGTCCTCGAAGCCGTTGACAAAGGAGAGGAAAACTCCGATGATGAACTCGACCGGTGGAGATTGCGATGTCCCAGTACATCGACATCACGGCGGAGAAGCACGGACTGTCCAAGGTTCCCGACGACGAGGACAAGGACAAATGGCTCTTGCTGGGGGATGACACCCATGACTTCGGATGGGATGCGGAGAATTTGCCCCCGGGAGTTCACCGTGCTGCGCCGGAAGGCCAGTCGATAATCATAGCGGAAGGAGACCTTTTCGATCAAGAAACTGTGGCGTCTGTGGAGCTGGTGTCGGAGGCTGATGAGTCCGAGGCGGCAGGGATGAGTTCCATGATCACCGCGGAGTCGGTCGCTTTCGAATCCGTGACGGAGGGCACCAGCACATCCAAGCAACCACCAACCCCGCCGCCGTCAAGGCGCGGAACTGCTAGCAAGCACGCTGTGGGGGAACCCCAGTCGACTGGTTTCATTGAGATTGGAGACGAGTCGGACCCCACGGCTGCAGGCTCGACCGACAAGCCCCAGGTGAAGGCGATGCCGAGGGTTGCGAAGGCCAAGGTGCCGCCGGGCAACGCCGAGGGGGAACCCCGGTCGAAAAAGCAGAAAGACCCTAAGCAAGAGAAGATCTTCTGGGAAGACTGGGCGAGGACCCGGAAGATCAATACCAAGGTCCCGGCCGAGGAGCAGAGCGAATGGCTCGAGGTCGAGGACATGGGGCACGTCCCGAAGGTCAACATGGACCGAGACTACCGACTGGTAGCAATTTCGAAGAAAATGTCCTATTTCCTCCGGGGAGGGGCATTCAAGGACGGCAAGCCCCACCCGCCGTTTCGCGGCATTGACCTGTCGGTGGAATTCGATGCGCTGGTCAGGCATCTGAATGACCGGATCGCCAACGTCATGCCCTGGGAGGTGATGATCTGCATCCGGAACAATAACACCCGCAGATTCCGCGTGATGGTTGGGCCCCCTCCATTGGGGGAAGCATCCTGGAAAGGATTGCCGTATCAGGCTTTGCGGGTGAGGGCCGTGCAAGGACACCACAACGAGCTCACAAGGAAATACACCGAGCAGGCGATCCTGACAAATTTGTATTCCTTTGACGAGGAGTTCACCGCGGCCAAGTACCTCGCCGGCCAGTACCCGAGGGCTGTGCGGCACCCGGAACTTACTGACCAATGGCGCCGAGGCTTTCCGGCTGTCCTTTATCACACCTGCGACCTCAGATCGGCCGAGAGTATCCTCAAGTTCGGCCTGGTTCCGGGGGGCTATCCGAAGTCGACAGGCAGGGCCCACGTCTACTTCAACCCAACGCCACCCTGGGAGGCGCAGATGAGGAAGCTGGCAGGCACGCGAGCCGGAAGGCCCGTCACAATCGCATTTGACACCGAGCTCATGATGCAGGACGGGATCAGGCTATTCACAAGTGATGAGGCCTTCATGTCCGCGGACTGGGTTGGAAACGCCTATGTCATATACGCCTTCCATACCCGCAAAAATGAATTCCTTTACTTCAACCGGGCATACCCAGAGCTTCGCAAGCGGTATCGCGAGGCACTGACGACCGAGCTCGCGCCTGGGCCTCACGACGTCAACCCAAACTTTTTCCGAAGTGAGAACACCCTCACCGCAGAGAAGGCCTGGAGGCATTGGCGGACCGTCGTTGAGGGGACGAAGAACGGCAAGCTGCTTCCGGGTTCTGTCACCGAAATTGAGACGATCGATGAGCTCGCTCCCCGGAAGGGGAAGTCGAATGAAAGACCTGCAGGCCCGACCTATCAGGTTGCGCCTGCGACTCTTCGGAGGGTGCCCGAGCTCTCCAGGGGGGAGAAAGGGCATGGTCGCGGCTGGAACAACCTCCGGAACCGCTACCAGAGCGAGCCACGTTGGGAGGACCTCCTGTTCACGACCATGATGAAGATTCCGGTCGTAAAATGTTGGAACCGGAGGTGCAACAACCAACAGATCGACGGCTACCTGTTGTGTCAGGAATGCCGGGCGGACATGGTGGCTTGGACGGACGCACGCATTGCCACTGAGGTGGTACGCCTCGAGCACACGGCATCCCTCCAGGGCATGGTTTTCTACCTGGAGGATTTGCAAGGTGGCGGAGGGAAGTGGATCCGTTCCAAGCATCACTTCAAGGAAGGTGAGAAGCGGGGAGGAATCTCCGTCGAAGCGTCACTCAGGAAGACGGCAAAGACGCATCTGACCAAGGCGTTGGCGATGGGGTGCGAGAAGGTATCCGACCGGCTCTCGGTCGACCCCTTCTACGCATACAACTGTGCCACGCAAGGGCTAACCCCTGAGAGCCTCGATTTCCTTGGCCGGATTGCCCGTGCGGTTGTTGCTGACCCAGGCCGTACCAGGGAGGAGCGCGAGAGAGGCGGATCCCAAAACACCGGAACCAAGCTGGTGTTCATCCCGAATCTGAATAAGCGCGACCCCCATGAGCTCAACGTTTCCACGGAAGCATTCATCGCCCACCACGCGAGGTTTTACACCATCACTCAATTCGCAGTCATGTGTGCCTACCGCTTCATCCCGGGCAACCAAGTGCCGATCATCATCGGGCACAGCGGATCATACGTCCCGGAAGGGAACGTCGAAAGAATTTTGGAGGTCATGACCAGTTTCATTCGGGCCTCCTGGATCAAGTTCGACTCCCAGGGCACCATCAGCACCGGTGAACTCGAAATCCCGCGGTTTTCCTCCGGCCGGACGCGGACCTATCCTGTTGAGGCGAGGAACACCCAGTGGAGGGCGATCACCCGGTCCATTCGCCCCGAGCCCTACACCAAAGGAAAGGGCAAGGGCAAAGGCAAGAGCACGGGGCGTCAGGACTGGAGCTCTTGGTACGGGTGGTCCTCTGGATGGCATCAATGGCGTCAGGGCCCGTGGGGATGGTGAGCGCCCGCATCAATTACAAAAGTTTGCTTATGTTGTGGTAACCATTTCAATTTCATTGGTGATGTCATGTTCAAAACTATTATCTTTCATCCATTGATGCCGCAACATTAGCAGTGCCAAGTTTGCACGCCCGGCGGAAGCTGCGGCCGTAGGTCAATCCACGGCCGCCACCACCGGATGTCATTTCAGTATTGCCCAGCGGAAGCTGTGGTCGTGAGATCACCTTCGCTGATGGCAACAGTGTGAATTCAGTTTCAAGCATTCACATGGAAATCACATGTGTTTTGCCCGACGGAAGTCGTGGTCGGCCGATTCGGATGGCACGCTCCTGCAAAAGTTCAAATGCATTGCAGTTGCAGCGACCATTGACGCATGAGGCCTCATATCACCATGGCTTGCCACCTATCCCACTGAGGCTCTACGTCTTCACTGCCTTGACCTCAGAGGACTTTGCTTCAGGCATGGGGGGAGAAACGTGTACAAAGTACTGTTCTCACCAACGCACCTCTGCAAAGCGGGGGGTGTTGATAGGTAATGGCATACTGACATGACAATTGGCTCAAGAAAAACAAGCTGCTGCCCGTGCTGACTTTTAGGTAGATCCCACCTTTCAACATTTTTGAAAGGTTCCGATTCCCCCAAAAACGCCGAGCCATATTTCCCGCACTTGCCTCTCAAAAGCCCAGAAAAAAAAGGGCGAGATCTAGCCGGACTTCTTGTGGTCTCCACGGGATGTGAGTTCCGGCGGTACCTGGGGAAAAGGTGGCCGTGGGTCAACACCAATGATACCATTTTTTGAGGTAGGTGCACCCATTTTTTGAGGTAGGTGCATCCATTTTGGTCTATTTTAGTGGTTGGATTGGGATGTTCACCGGGACGATTTGGGTTTTGCCCCATAGCTACGTCACGTCCAAAAAGAAAGCGGCGAGCCGCCGATCGGAGGCGTGGCGCACCTGCCAGGCCACGAGGCGAGTCGGGGAACTGCGACAAATGTGGGCCATGTGGGGAATGTAGGTGACAGGGGCCATAGCCGTAGAATTTCTGTTGCAGTTTTATCGTTACATATATATATATATATGCTACCCCCCCCAAGGACCTACCTTTTGGTTGCCTCTCCAGTGCATGAATTGCCCATCTAGGACTGGGAGGAACGATCTCTCAACTCGGACCAGGACCAAATGAGAGTAGAACCCAGGATCTCTCAACTGGGACTAGGACCAAACTAGGACTAGACGACCACCTCAGATTCTTACAAAACATAAACTTCAAGTATAACTTCGTCTGCAATGTCCTGTATATTTTCTAATTATTGCAGTAAACTAGGGAGCAACCTAACACTAGGACCAAACTAGGACTAGACCATTTAATTCTACTTCTTATAGTATTATAGCATTTGGATGTCAAGTATTACATTCTGGTGGAAAAAAGTCCTGTTTAAGATTTGGTCCTAACATGTAAATTCTGACACCTTATTTCAAATTCAACTGTTCAGCTAGAAGTTGCATAGAACTTGACTAATATATTAACTACAATTCAGAACAAACTTCCTTTGTAATGTCCTTTATACGTTCTATGTATTTCAGTAAGCTAGGACCATACTTGGCCTAGAACCAAGGATCTCCCAAGTAGGACTAGGACCAAACTAGGACTAGCTAGTTCTGAAAGTGATTGAATTTCAATGTACAATGGTCTATGGGACAGGAAATCGTTTGTACCATTTAATTTGACATAAACAATCAATATTTAAGTTCGAATCTAAATCGCAATTTTGGCTGGAGTATGTCCTTCTTAAGCTCCATTGAATTTCAATCAGAAATATGGTCGAATTTGATAAGGAAAGAATCCAAAGGTCCCAAACTTGTGTCTTTCACTAGTCCTAACACTACCTTGGTCAGAAAACACCGTAAAACAGTGTTGTGTAGCGTTTTTCATCCTCAATTCACATCTCCACCAACGAACGCTCTCTAAATGCTCATTTGAACTTTGAACAGGATTTAATTGGGACTCAATACGGAAATATTTGGTTAGAATCCTAATGGTAATCAAATTTGAGATTGTGAGTTTAAATAGAGTTCCTTTCCCAATATATACTTGCAATTCAATATGAGCTTCAACAGGATTTGATAAGGAAAGAACCCCCATTCTCTAGACAAGTCTTCTTTGCAAACGGAGTCCAGGCCCGAGTGAAACCCATTGAGACCGACTGAAATTTCAGTTGAGCCTGGGTTCAAGATTCCCTAGAAAACTTTGACCTGCAATCTTGAATGTGGGCCTAGATTGAAACAGATTGAATGAATAATGAGGCCTTGGATGCTTGCACAACACTGTGCCAAAGTACAGCCGCGCAAAGTGCAATGTTGAATTTGGGTCTCGATTTAAACCGATTTAAATCGATTTAAGTTTAAATCGGGCATGGATTCAAGACTCAAGAATCCAGGCCAGCTTTTCCAGGGAATCTTGAATCCAGGCGTCGATTGAAACCGATGTAAACCGATTTAATTTAAATCGGGCATGGATTCAAGATTCAAGATTCAAGAATGCAGGCCAAACTTTTCCAGGGAGTCTTGAATCTTGAATCCATGCCCGATTTAAGTTAAATCGGTTTAAATCGGTTTAAATCGACGCCTGGATTCAAGAATCCCTGGAAAAGTTTGGCCTGGATTCTTGAATGTTGAATCTTGAATCCATGCCCGATTTAAATTACATCGGTTTAAATCGGTTTCAATCAAGCCTGAAGCTTCCAGAACGTCCTTGGAAATGCTTCTTTTCATTGCTCTCCCCAAAGCCCAAAAAAGGGTAGAACACACTACACATAACAGTGAATTCATCAAACAGGTAGGTCCCTGGGGGGGGGGGTACCATATATATATATATGTTTCTAAAATAGCAAAAAACAAAACATGTGTATATATATATATATATATGTACACATGTCACATGTATAGATCTCCGAATGCAAGCATGGATGTGTTTGGGCACCCCGGATCGACTCGAACAAAAAGATGGCCCGGAGGCCTTCATGGCTCTGCTGGGGGAGAAGGGACGACCCATGGACCCCATGGTGCCTGGCAGCCCAGAGCGGAGCGGAGCCACGTGTTGGGCGAGTGGGTGGGGTAAACTTGGTGCTCCCATCCCCTTAGCTTTTTAGCCTTTTAGTGTTTAGTGGTAGCTTCCATTTCACCCACTAAAAGTTAAACTTTTAGCGGGGGATCTGAGGGCAGCCCAGAAAAGAGTCCCATGTTTTAAGATTTTGCCCTTCAAATGTCCAAGAGGTCTTCGCTGGCCGCGATGGCCGAGTCCATCTCCAAGCAGGAGCTGACGATCGGTTCGGGGGTGCCAGGTGCCTGAATGAGGGGGTTCCGGGTGGACGATGTTCCGATTTATTCAAAAGGAAGCTGATTGAAAGGGACCTCTGACGTTTCGGGGTCCTGGTTTAGGCGATTTTTTCCGATTTTTGATTGGGACACTCTGGTGGGTTCCTTGGCAAGGTGGACAGGAGGGTAGCCTTGCTCCAAGAATCGGAAGGAAGCTGACGATTGGAAGGTGCAGGAAGATTATCCTTCTTTGGACCTCCCTACTTTGGGTGAACATGTGACCCCCGCCTGGGACCCCCCCACACGCACACCTTCGAAAGGGAGGCTGGCAGCTGGTACCTGATTTGACCCCCTGACCAAAAAACAGTGGGGCATCGTGGACGTTGGGTTTTTTGGAGGAGCCCGGCGCCCGGGAAGAGTCGGTGAAGTCCATCAAGACTTTGCTCACGGGATTGCTGGACAGCATCACCAGCCGCTGCCCGAGAGCGGGGCGGCAAGGCGGAGTTGCTCGGGGGGGTTTTGGTTTGGTGTGCGTTGGGTTTAGGTTCTGGGGATTGGTTTAGTTGGGTTTGGTTTGGCTGCTTTGGTTTGGGTTGGTTGGTTGGTTGGTTGGTTGGTTGGTTGGTTGGTTGGTTGGTTGGTTGGTTGGTTGGTTGCTTGCTTGGTTGGTTGGTTGTATTTGTTCCTGGGGATCGACCGGGTAGCTTACCCGCTCCAGGGTCGGAGGGTGACAACCCATTGTTCATAACAGCATAACACTGACCGTTTTGGTTGCTGCCTGCCCCACGCCAAGTCATATGGGTATACGTTATGTGTCAACAGTGGCTCCAGCTCTTCCTGAGGTCAGCACACGATTGCTCAGCACTGTCCTCAGAGAGTTGCCACGCTTGAGGAATCCGATCGGTTGCTGGGCACGCCTGCGAGGGTTAGGTGCCATTGTTAGAACCCACTTACACCTGTTACAAGTCACCGGGTGGGTTAGACCCAGTACCCGATCGCCTCCTGCTTCAGCCTTGGTCGAAATGTGGTGCCCTCAGGTGGTCGGTTTCCTTAAACACCGGACATTGGCCCGCACTCCGATCTGGTCTTCTGGTGGGTCAACACCGTCATATGTCGGGAAAGCTGCTATTTCTACGTGAGTTTCCTTGTGGTGGCAAGATGTTGCGGAAACAAAGGGACCCCCTCTGTTTCTTTGTTAGTTGGTTTCAAACATCACATTTTGGGCTGCCATTTCCTCTTGGTGGTGTGATCTTAGGGAATCACCCTGTTTTTTGTTTTGTTGGTTGCTTTTCTTAAGACGAGTTTTTGTGCTTTAACGACAGGGCTCTGTGTATCCAGGGTGATGCTTAGGGAGATGTAGAGAGCGTCGACTGACGGCTTTTTAGGGGCCGATTGCCGGGAATGATGCATTTGCGGGGAGAGCGAGGCATGGTTTAAGCCTCACGTTTTGAGTGACTTGAAAAATACGATTTTTCGGGTTTGGTTGCCATTGTGGTGGGAAAAACAAGTTTGGGGACAGCTTAAGAGCTGTTTTTTGTTTGTTTGTTTGTTTGTTTGTTTGTTTGTTTGTTTGCCATTGCGGCAAACTTCCAAGCGGAGAAGATCAAACAATTTGCCCAATACTATTGGTTGTTGGCACACCACAAGCTAGGTGACCGTTTTTTTTGGGCGTCGACTCGATGGGAAGTGAAACAAATATTTCGCCTGAAGATTTCGGGTTCCTTTGTGCGGGTGCCACGGGGCGCTTTTTTTGAGGTTGTCAAAGGGTTACTCACCCAGCCAGTGGGCACACTTTACACTTTCTTCCTTGGTGGCTCTCCATTTATTTTAGTGGTGGCCCAAAAAGTGTGCACTTTTTTTGGCTGGTCACTGGCCAAGTGAGGGTTCCGTGCGTTTTTTGGGCACACGAGGAACTCTGTGACCAACCTTACTGCCTTCACCACCTGCAACGTGAACAAGGCGGCAGACCTCGCGCACGCCGGCACCGTGAAGAAGGTGAGCCAGCGAGTGGGCGAGCGAGAAGAGGGGACGGACGTTGGGGGATTGGGGGGTTGGGGTGGGTTGGGTGAAAACGTCTTCAAACAGGGCAAAGCCAGGTGGGTCGCGATAGGGGACTTTGTGCTGCGCTCAGGAAGAATCAGTTGGAGCGCGTAAAATGCACAGGCTGTGGTGCATTTGGATTAGTTGACTTAAACCCCACCTTTTTGGGCTCGTGTTGAAAGGGTCCGTGACCCGAATGCTGGTTCAAAATCAGAAGATCCCTCGAATTTTGCAACACATTATGAATACACATAATATGAACACACACACACACACCTCTCTCTCTCTCTCTCTCTCTATGCATGCACCGATAATAGGAGCATATAACTTGAAAAGATGTATCACCAGCAACTGGAACAGAGAGTAACAATCATATGACCAATAACTTGAACAGACAGTACGAAGAACACAACACACACACACATATACGTCTTATATTATTTTTCTTGCCGGCGAGGTGAGCAACTGGACCGACACCAGTGCGGCCTACAATGCGCAAGGGCCTCGTTGGATTCGGGGACCCATTCAAGGGATTTTAATGTTCCCGGCAAAGTAGAATCATAGCACCCGAAAGGAACCCAATTGAAAGGGTTTCCGATGTCTCTTTTTGGAACCTCCAAAAGTTGCGACCTGGCAGGGGTGTAAAAGCTCAATGTCACTTCGGATTTCAGGGGGGTTTGGGGTGTATCTGAAGAATCGACCCTTTAGATGAGTTTAGTCCCCACCGCGGATGAATCTAAAGTGATCATTACCCTTAAGAAGGTGGTTGCAAAAACAGACGCTGAGTGTCCACCGTACGGGGCGCAATATTTTTCCATTGATTCAGGACGCACCATCTCCGCTGGTTTCTGGTTTAGCGCACAAGAGCCCTACGAGATGGCAACCCAACCCCCACCCCTGCCAACCTCTCAAGGGATCCCCTGAGCAAGGCTTTAGCAAGGGCTTGTTCCTGCGAAGCCGGGTGAAAAGGATCACGTGCGAAACGCAAATCCAGAGGAAGCTCCCAGCTCGTTGTGGGGAAGATGTGAAACGGCTCGCTTCAACACAAAGACCTTCGTTTTCACAAGAAAGGACCTCTGTTGACCCTCCGTAGATTCCCCCTTGTGAGGCGCCTTAGTAAGGTAAGGCTTGCCAAGAGGAGTACTGTACCCGAGGGAACACGCCCAGAAGCATGGCTTCAGGGGCGAGTCAGGCGGAGGGTTTAGGACCACAGATGGACCCCCACAATTCACCGCATGTTTTTTCTCCCCGCAAGGAACCAACCAGCAAATTGGAGAAACCTAGAGCAACCTTGGGCAACCCCTCCGTGAAAGACATACGAAGGGATAGAGGCCTTTACATTCATTTGCTGAAATGATCAATTCTATTTTTTGCCCTGGTTTTAAAGGGAATCTATCCCTACTGGACACATCTTTTTCATTTTTTCCAGGGGGCTTAAGCAAATGGAAGTTTAAAGACAGACCACAGAAAGGAGCCCATGTTCCACCTGTTCCCTCCATTGCCTGCAATATTTTGGGGGCCTTTTGTTCCCAGTGGGAGCAACCTAAAGACCTCGCAACTTCCAGAGTGCAACTTGACTTCGCCGGCTCAGGTGCATCGCCGAGCTGGAGGCGACCGCCGGTTTTGATGCAACACCCGACGACCGCCCGAGCGCCGGGTTGGATGTGCGCGCAGATCTCGAGCCGAAAGTCTGCCGCCCGTTTGAAGGCAACGGGAGTTCCCTTCAAAACCCGGCCAAGAATAGGGTTTGGATCCCGGTGTAGATAATTGTGTCCCTCCATGTCGTCCCAGATTCTGAAACGAAAGTACTCATGAAGGGAACCCTTTGCAAACGACAACTTTCAACCGCACGGCGCTTTGTGGATGACCTCACGCACGGCTTCCTGTCGAGGTGCGGCGCCCTGTTTCCCCTTGGAGGTTGCTGTTGCAACAGCAAGTAAGAAAGACAATTTGTGGAGTTGTTTTCTTTGATTTTTTTGTTACTCATATAAACACCCATATG